ACTAATGCCCAAGTCGAAAGAGCTTTGGCTCCTTTGGAATGCCACGGCGCATTTTATAGAACGCGGTGCGTTGCGGCACGCTGCTCAAATCGTGGAGAAGTACAATTTGAATTCACACGTGATCTCGCAGTTGGCGAAGCACGTCAATCCGTTCGACCTTCCCCAGAATACTGTTCGATATTTTGGGAGGTACACCACAGTGCTGACCCAGGTATTGTCGCTGGTCGCATTGATGTGAGGGAGACATTGCGGAAGGGCAGGAGCCCTGGTTGAGAACGGAGGGGCGTTTTTCCATGATTTTTATCACAATCATTCTGCTGCTATAATAACGAGACGCGCGACAAGGACGCGTCTGGCCACTCCACAAGATGAACACGCCATCCCGCTACAGCAAGTCAACGTGCCCGTATTGAATCTGGAGTGGATTAAAAGTCGGTTGAACCCGGCCACCTTGGAGAGGCTCATGCAAGTTTGGGGACTCGTCGGGCGATCCCCTTTCCCTCCGTCTTCCTCCGGTAAGCGCGCGAAGGCTCACTGAGGATTCCAACCGCTGATGCGCATTTGCTACAAACAGCAGGAATTATCGAGGACGCTTCGTCCACAATAACGGGCGGATGGATAATACCCCTTTCGGTTGCGGAGGAGAAAACCACCGGTTTGCGACGACGATGGATCGCGTGGCCACGCGACAAGAGCAGAGACGACCCTTACGAGGCGAATGCTTCTCTTTTGCACACTTCCCATTATTTGCCACCTGTGATGGCTGAGGCCGCTTCCTGCCTGGATTTAAAGGCATCCTTTTTTCAACTCTCTTTACCGCGGGGGACTCGGCATCTCTTTCGATGCCGCGTGGAGGACGGCACGCTGGAGGAGCTGACACGGCTCCCAATGGGATACAAAGCCAGCCCAGAAATTCTCCGGATTATTACTTCAGCAATTGCGGGGATGACGACGGTGGTTCACCGCCTCTGGGCTGCACCTCCATTGGTGTGTATCGACGTATGGATCGGTAATATACGCATTGCAGGGTCGAAAAGCGATGCGACATTGTGGGAGGCCCAAGTGCTTCGTAATGCGGACAGCTGTCACGCCACGAAAGAGGAGGACCGCGAATCGGGCGCCACGCAGTACACCTTCCGGTGGGTGCAGTTTGATCACGCTCACCGGGCGCTATCCCTGAGTGAAAGGTTTGTCCGGTCTGTATGCGCCATGCCGGCGCTCAATTCTTTAACCATCGCGGAAATGGAGGTTGTGGCGTCACGTTTTTGTACGCAGCTGCCATTTTGTGCACGCGTTTATGCGAATACTTCTTTTTCATCAAGGCAGTGCGACGGCGATTATCGGCACTTCACCGGGGAATTGTGCGGGAGACATCCCCGGCGAACCTTCCGTCGGCAGCGGTTGGTTTGGGCGAGAGGTTACGACACAACATCGAGAATAATCACAAGCGAATCATCAATTCCACGGAAAGGGCATCGGCCGCTATCATCACGGACGCATCGATCCATGGATGGAGAGCCGTTTTTATTCTCCAGACTCCGGCGACGTTAAAATTGCCGGATGAAAATGAGAGATGGCCTTTCCTTATCATGCAGGCCGAGGCGCGCGCGGTACGCTTAGCCTTATCGGCCTTTTCCGCCATTTTGCCATCCACCATGGACGTTTGGGTGGACAACACTTCGCTGCAAGGAGCGGCGAATAAAGGCAGCTCAAACTCGCACGCGTTGACGTGGGAGCTGCGAGTGATATGTGAGTTTTTGGACTCTCGCGGAGTACAGGTATCCTTTGCGTACGTGCGGTCTGCGGAAAACCCCGCGGACGGCATATCACGCGGTCGTGTTTTTACACTTCAGGACTTGGCGAAGGGGTGGAACTTGCGAAAGTGAGCGGCGGGGTCTTGTGGTTGGAGGACCCCAAAGTCTGCCACTTCGTAAGTAATAATATTTAAGTCCTAACTGAGGTCAAAGGGCCATGCTGGTGGTCCACAGAATTCTATATATTGAATGAAAAAAATCATTGAAAGAATTAACTAAAGAACCTTTTTTCCTAACTTGTTTGGTTTCCATAGATATAACTTCAGGATCCGGCCAGCTGCCCGGAAGATTATTCTCTTTTTTTTTTCTTTACGTTGCTCCGCACATTTCTCAGTGTTTGTTTTGTTGCGGCCAAACACGGGTAGTTTGAGTCGCGGATAGTTTTTCTCCTTGACGTCGTTTTGTGTTAGGCACTAACGCGGGCACGTTCGTCAAGCATCCACTCTCCACAGCATGGCGCCTGATATTTTGGAGTCATCCCAGATGTAACGCAGGCACCGCCGCCGTGGCACTCATGGGAAGCAAGGTGTAACGCGGGATAGTGAAGGATATTGTGCTGCACTTGTGTCTGCTGCATTAGTTCTGTCGTGGTGGCTTCAATGTAGAAGAATAGGGATGAACTTTGCACGATTCCGCGGCTTGGAGGATGATGATTACATGTCTTGTCAGAGTGTCAGTAACACTTCATTTGCATCTTGCGATTCTCAAGAGGATTTGACATCCCTTCCACAGAAGGGAAAAAGTTTTTTCTTCATTTCTTGTCAATGCCGCCAGTCGTTCTGTGTCGTGGGTCATGAATCGACCCATTCACGTGCAGTTGAAGAACCCCTGTGTTGTGTGGCCGTGCGATTCACATTCTGACGTGGGCTTTGAGATTACGGTGAGCGAGATCATGGTGAAAATTGAGCCTACATTAGAGGCCGGTGCTGAGCTTATGAAGGTTATCGTTATCGCCTTCAGTGGGGTTGCCGTGT